AATAGATATGGTTCATAAAATAATAATATGACAAATTAAACCCCTTTCTTGACCATGTAATTCACTGAATATACATAAGTAGAACTCATACAAATAATGACTTTAATATGCCTAGACACAAGACATGCAAATGACATATCAAATGAACAAATGCTAGTAGGATTCATGATCATATAAGGGGACCACATGATTTCAGATCATTATGTTGATGTTTAGAATGAGGAGGGGTACTTAGGATCTCTACCATCTTCTATTCCCAAGTATCGTATGTTAGATTCTATTCCTTCCACAATACTTCAATGGAGGTTAAACATTTTGAGCTTAGCTTCTGGGACTTAACAATCAAGAAAAACTATAGTATCTCCCATTTTTTTGTTTATGGAACGAATACAAAATCATAAGCCTAACCTATCGGGGATCTACTTTCCCTTCTCTTTTATCTCATGACGCTTTCTAGAGGTGAGACTTATAAGAACGCATAACTATTAATATAAAATCTAAAGTTTTATACCGCACATTCAAATAAGGCATTATGCTAAGTTATTTATCTATGGTTGTGATAAAATTTACATATATGCCCAACATTTTCTGGTCAAAATCTTCACTATATAATGATACAAGGAAATGTTTTCCCAAAATGTTCAAAACTCAAGTCAATAATCACAGAGGGGCATAGTGTACAAATAAATAAGGCACATTGGATATGACATATAGGCAGATTAGCACAAAAGGGAGCACATAATATACGGGCATTAAGCTATAGAAATATATGGTGTACTCACGCATATGGTTCATAGGGTAGCGTGTGAGCGAATGAACTATAAGGAATGTAGGAAATGGACTAGATGAGCACATGATGCATGAGTACTAAAGATACAAAATATATAATACGTAAGCAAGTAAACTATATGAAATATGAACTACAGAACACAAATCACATTAATCAAGTGTGTTATATTGCATGGATTGGTGACCTAACATGTCAATAAGTACACTTACGAAATATGAGCAAGTGAACACATGAAACATGGCTAGAAAAGCTATAAGGCCTGTAATGTTTAAGCAAGTAGGCTACGAGGCATGTAATATTCATAGAAATGGTTTATGATGCATATGACATGTAAACAAGTGATATGCGAGTCATATAACCCACGAGCACTAATTTTTCCCATAGCATATGATCAATTAGCATGCAATACCCACACAATATGGACAAGTGACATGTGAAAAGTAACCAGTGCAACAAATAACATGTAAGGAAAATGTCCAACAAAAACATATAACAATAAACAAGGGTAATCTAAAGCAGATAACACTTACATGTAAGCATTCTATGACATTGGGTAACATGTGAGAAACTGATCCACAAAGGTTAAATGGCATACAAATAGATAATTTATGGAATATGCAGCATGTATAATTATATAACAAACCATCTTTGGAAACTACGAGATATCCTATAGAACCACTCTACCATATTAAAGGAAAACACACTGTCTTAAGCGTTAAGTCACAGGTGGGATAGTTCTGCTCATATTCCTTACTTACATAAACACATACAATTGATTTCCCCGTCTACTCTCTTTAATCTCCTAAGAATTATTATAGGTATTCTGATATTGGGACTTGGCTTTCATCTAGGTCAATATAAATACTACAGTCAAGATAGAAAAAGAAAATCCTCAATAATTCATCTTTTAGAGTGGAAGGTTGACGTCAACTTTGCCTTCATTACTAGCTTGTGTTATATCACGCTCAATGCCTGGTGCCCTTTGAAGGTCGAAATAGAAAATAAATAGTGAAGCTTGAACGCACCATAAAACATGAACTCTAATAACATGTAAATGTCAGGTACTTATAAAGTTGTGTCATGATTCATAAAATCTTAGAATTATTTTCTTTTGGGCTTTACTAGATAGGTCTGGCGATACTAATAGATTTATCTTTTTAAAACAAGTAAGGGTGGTCTGACTCCTTTCCCATGCAAGATAGCAAATTTACAACTAGCATATGATCAATTTTTCATCTCCCTTAACTAGACTATGACTGACAAATTACTGCACGCATATATTAAATGAAACATGTAGTAGCTCTATTCAAATTTATGGAAGTCTATACATGTAAATAATGCTCTACGTACATATTCGGCATGTGACATTCAAGCTTCATTCTCACATGCTTCCTGTCTAACAAGTACATTTTAATCAAAACTAGTAGCTTCACGTACTCTAACACCACTATGTACAACCTAACTAATCACAATTTAGGTCTAACCAACCAATTTTCCTTTTGTTAACCTTAACCCTTTGGTCACATACTAATCCTCTATAGCCAAAATATAGATTGTAGTAGGAACTGCCATACATATATCATTTGCAGTAATTAGCACACTTAGGTCTAAGTTTCATAATCATGAAAAGAATATAAATGTTATTAGTACTTATTCGGGGTGGTTGGAATATACCATATAAAACCAACTATTAACATATTCGGGATGATATATGGTGAGAATTTAGGCCTTGTCAGCCAATTAGGGGTATCTCTAGTAACACTATTGCACTAATACATTTAGCTATCATATTGTGCCACTGCCTTCTTCCAACTAAAAGAAATTGGTTCAACAATATCAATTTAGAGTACATGTGTAACACCAAAAATTCTATGTATAGCACAGACTAAGAACGAGTGTCCTCTATAGGAATACATCCTATAAATATGGAGGAAATATAGAACTTAAGAGTTGGATACATCCTCCTAAGAATATGTGCTTAAAAATGCTACAGCTCATATATGTAACTAGGTGACCCATCATTTATAAGTATATGGATAACCATACTATATCTTTCTCAATTGAACCAATGTGATACAAATGGTAAAAATGCAACTTAAAGTGCATATAACATAAAATCCTTTACATACCTTGTGGAGTGGGACGGTCGAATAAAATGAGCTTAATGTAGTCTAAATATTGATAAGTACTGATCCTTTTCTATAGGTTGCATGTTGAAATTTTAGCTACCGTTAACCTTAACCATCATAAACATAATATGAATAACATAATCAGGTACAAGTGGAAATTGACTTCTTAACTTCACTTTATTGCACGATCTAGATTATGAAGGATGGTAACATTTCCTAAATGTCCAAGCAGCCCCCTAATTATAAATGTGGCGCACAACACATTCATAAGTAAGGCTTTACTAGACATGGCTTTGTAGACTCTCTAGGACGAACTACTCTGATACCACTTTTGTCAAACCCTAACCCTAGGTAAGGTGGACAAGTACCATATGAACAAATGCTTTACAAGTGACCTATGATTAGAAAGAAAACTACTATGCAGATAGATTTAGTGATGAGAAGTTTCATATACAACACATATTGACTAGTTGAACCGATACATGTGACAAGTGAAACTATGAATACAGATGATAGCTTTACAATGTCTACAAAGCCTCTACTGGAATCCATGATTGTACCACTATAAAATACGCATAGTAAAGACTCGGCAAAGCCACGAATCAACCTAGAGCTCACCAACAACCGCTGAGTATCATGTGCTTCTATTGGGGAGATCTACTAATTGAGTAGTTGTACCTGCAGCATGAAACGCAGCATCCCCAATAAGGGACGTCAGTACAAAAGAATGTACTGAATATGTAAGGCATAATACAACCATCTGTAAAATTAGAGCTCAAGTGAAACAAAATAGCAATAGATAAGGATTAGAGACCACATTTGCTTATACTTGTGGAATCGTGTATGTTACATTCTTTTCTTTACTTTTCTTTGCATTATAATATTTATAAGACATATGATACAAATGACCAGTTGATCAGTGGTAGAAGAGGCTGCCCCATGCAAGGCTTTTTAACCCCTGGGATGTTGTCCTCATAATTCCACAAATTGGGATCGGCCCATGCAAGGCTTTCACCCCTGATCTGCCACCCTCTTATACAAATTGGGATCGGCCCATGCTAGGTTTTCCCCCCTGAGTTGCCACCCTTCTATACCAATTGGGATCAACCCATCCTAGGTATTTTCCCCTGGGTTGCCACCCATAAATATACATATAGCTTCACTTAAATTATTTATCTTTGAGATTGTTGTTTTGATGTTCATAACTCTTTCGAGATTGTTCTTTGGATAATCATAAATCTTTTGAGATTGTTCTTTTGATGATCATTATCTCTTTTGAGATTGTTGTTTTGGTGGTCATAATCATTGTTGAGATTTGGAACTATGGACCAGTAGTAGAAGACATATGACTATGGACTTACGATAATAACAATGATATGGGAAGCAAATGTGACATGAACATGTAATACTTAGGAGCATATGACTCAGTTAAGCATTTTGAAATCTCAAATTGAAGCACATATCAAGTGAAGACATTTAACATTCAGCCAAGAGATTTGAACTTTATATGATAGTCGGATACTCACTAACTAATATCAAATACAAGGTATACATGAAAGTGGAACTAAAGGAGAACGTGGCAGATTCAACTTAAGGACGGATACATATTCCAAGTAAGTACATATAAAATATACAATAGAGCAAGTAGGGATCTTGTAAGGTAACATTATAGTCTAACACAATGGGAGTAATAACCAATAAAGGGAACATATGAACATGTGACAAGATGACAAATATATAGATAATTGAAGCAATTTGGCATGATATGGGCAGATTGTATATCCGACATACAAACATATGTACCATGTGTAATCTAGGATCATTTTGATTTATATAAGGGAAATACGTGCCAAGGGTACTTTGACGGTGAAACAAGTTTAAACCTTGCATGCTAATACTTGGTAGAGTAAGCACGTACATTTAGTAACAAACTCATATTAGAGTACTCACTTTAATGCTCTAGGGAGTAGGAACTGCAACTATGGATCAGTCACTACCAAGGGCACTTCGAAAGCTTACTTTTAATAATGCAAGTGTTTGATTCATGCCAAAGAAATAGGAAATCGAATAGCCTTACATACCTTGCTATACAATTCAAAAAGTATGACTTAAGCTCCTTCTCTTCAGATTACTGATCTACAATAAAGTAAGTTGTAAGTCTAGTATTAGTAGCTAATCAATCAATTTGAGCTACTTGATCTCACCAAAATAGTAACCAAGCAGTAAGCATGCAATTTATTTAGTCAATGTTTTCTTTCCTTCTCTTTCTGTTAAATTGCGTCTATATATTATACAACCTTCGTATCATGTCCTCCCCAAACCTCCCTGCAATATTTAAGTCCTTTAACTTCTTCATAACTTCCCCGCACATCCAGTCACATCCCTTATCATAACCTACATAAAACAATCCTTAAACATAATAATGTAACAGAAGAAATATGAATCATGGTTTCTGATCACCGGCACTTGAAAAGTTAACATTACTTTTAAGGTGCGCAAACAAGCTCATGACTGAATTTAAAAAGGACTCCCCTCCATGGTTGTCCAAACATGAACTAATCACCAGAACATCCTCCCCAATATTACACCATGTAAAAGTAACAATTTCCAACTCACTAACACATACCAAGTGTCCTAATTAACTCAAGAACAAGAGGGAGAAAATTGCAGTAGCTTACCTTGCTGGACAGAACAACCACTTGTTAAGACTTGGATTCTTCAAGGTAAAGGTTGTCCTCCTTAACTTGTCTTAAATTACACCTTCCAATAGCTTGAACTCCCTAATATTCAAGAACCCTAATGGTATTTAATGGTTGTTGTATGAAGCTAAGAGAGAGAAGAGAGAAAGCTCTAGAAATCAGATTTTTGGCAAAGTAAAAATGGTTGGAAAAAGTTGATATCAATCCCTTTGAAAGTGACCTGCTTTGGCCGACTTTCTCACTCATTCTGGGCCATAAATTTTCAGGTAGGTGACCCACCTACTTGGACTTTTCACTTGGGCCTTTTTGGACTTAACAACATTGGGCCTTTTGCCACCTTTCTTGTACTTGTTTTGCAGCCAAACATGTGTCTTTAATTCAGGCCACACATTTAAGTAGGTGATGCACCTACTTTTCCATTCAAATTATTTCTTGTGGGCTTGGAAAGATTGGGCCTTGGCTGTCCATTTTCCCCTTATTCTTCTATTCAACTTGGGCCAGATTAATGCAAGTAGGTGTAGTGTACCCCAATAACATGGTCAAAAGAGTCTTAGTAGGTGATGCACCTACTTGGTCCTTTGGGATGGTCTATAAGTCAGAGTAGGTGATGCACCTACTTGTCATCTACTAGCTTAGTGAAGTCAAGCAAGCACCTCAATATTTTATTCCATTTCTAGACCTTAATACCTTTAACTTAACTTAAAACTTATATACACTATGTCACTTTAAATTTTAGACTAAAATACCACCTTATGATCTCAAGTTTAAATACTTCCTTTGACTTCAACTTAATTGGGTCACATTAAAATCTATGAACAGGTCACTTTAAATTTATTCTATTGTCACTAGTTGCCTAGGAAACCGAGTCCATAACTATACCACAAGAAAATTTTTAAGCGTCATATAAATAGAACTAGTACATGTAGAATACGGGGTGTTACAGAAAAAAACCCCTGGGAAAAAGTCCTAGTGAAGGTAAAAGAGTACACATATCTTTTAATATTCTTTGTGACTGGTGAGATTCAAGAATTTTTTGAGGTGTTTTTATGTCTTTACCTTGATTTTTATATTTTTCAGACATTTACAAATTAAAATTTATTATATTTTTTGAATAGTCACGAAAAAATGTGAAGTTTTGATATTCTATTCATATCGATATTTTAAGGTGACTGGTGCGATTTTGGAATTTTTTGAGGTGTTTTAATTTCTTTTTCTTGATTTTTATATCTTTCGGACGTTTACGAATTTAAAGTTTTGATATTTTTCGGACAGTCACGAAAAAATGTGAAATGATATTCTATTCGTATCGATACTCTAAAATGACTGATGTGATTCGAGATTTTTTTGAGATATTTTAATGTCTTTTTCTTGATTTTATATTTTTTGAACGTTTACGAATTAAATTTTTTGATATTTTTTGAGCCGTCATGAAAAAATGTGAAATATTGATAGTTTATTCGTATCGATATTTTAAGCTGACAAGTGCGAATCGAGAATTTTTTGAGGTGTTTTTATGACTTTTTCTTGACTCTTATATTTTTCGGACGTTTACGAATTAGATTTTTTTATATTTTTCACGCAGTCACGAGAAAATATGAAATTTTGATATTTTATTCGTATCGATATTCTAAGGTTAAAGATGCGATTTGGGAATTTTTTGAGGTGTTTTTATATCTTTTTCTTGATTTTTATATTTTTCAATCTTTTATGAATTAAATATTTTGATAATTTTTCGGACAGACACGAAAAATATTAAATTTTGATATTTTATTCTTATCGATATTCTAAGCTGATTAATGCAATTCAGGAATTTTTTGAGGTGTTTTTACGTCTTTCTCTTGATTTTTATATTTTTCGGACGTTTACGAATTTAAATTTTTGATATTTTTCGGGCAGTCACGAAAAAATAAGAAATTTTGTTATTTTATTCGTATCAATTTTCTAAAGTGAGTGGCGCGATTTAGGAATTTTTTGAGGTGTTTTTATGTCTTTTTCTTGATTTTATAATTTTCGAACGTTTACGAATTATAATTTTTGTTATTTTTCAGGGGGGTCACGAAAAAATGTAAAATTTTGATATATTATTCATATCAAGATTTTAAGGTGATAGGTGCGATTCGAGAATTTTTTGAGGTGTTTTCATGTCTTTTTCTTGATATTAAAATTTTTTCGGACGTTTATGAATTAAATTTTTTGATTTTATTCGGGAAGTCACGAAAAATTGTGAAATTTTAATATTTTAGTAGTATCGATATTCTAGGTGACTGATGCGATTTAGGAATTTTTTGAGGTGCTTTTCTGTCTTTTTCTTGATTTTTATATTTTTCGGACGTGTACGAATAATTTTTTTTGATATTTTTGTGCAGTCACGAAAAAAATGTGAAATTTTAATATTTTATCCATATCGATATTCTAAGGTGACTGGTGCGATTCAAGATTTTTTTGAATTATTTTTATGTCATTTTCTTGATTTTTATATTTTCCGAACGTTTACGAATTACATATTTTGATATTTTTTTCACGCAGTCACAAAAAAATGTGAAAATTTGATATTTTATTCGTATCGATATTGTAAGGAAATAGGTGCGATGCGAATAATTTTTGAGGTGTTTTTATTTTTTTTAATGATTTTTATATTTTTTCGGACTTTTACGAATTATATTTTTTGATATTTTTTGGGCAGTCACGAAAAGATGTGAAATATTGATATTTTATTCGTATCGATATTCTAAGGCGACAGGTGCGATTTGGGAATTTTTTGAGGTGTTTTGATTTCTTTTTCTTGATTTTTATATTTTTCGGACGTTTACGAATTAAAATCTTTGATATTTTTCGGGTAGTCACGAAAAAATATGAAATTTTGATATTTTATTTGTATTGATCTTTTAAGATGACAGGTGCGATTCAGGAATTTTTTGAGTTATTTTTATGTCTTTTGCTTGATTTTTATATTTTTCAGACGTTTATGAATTAAATTTTTTGATATTTTTCTGGCAGTCATGAGAAAATGTGAAATTTGGATATTTTATTCGTATCGACATTCTAAGGCGACAGGTGCGATTCGGAAATTTTTTGAGGTGTTTTTATTTCTTTTTCTTGATTTTTATATTTTTCTGACGTTTACGAATTGAAATTTTTGATATTTTTCGTGCAGTCACAAAAAAATGTGAAATTTTGATATTTTTATTCATCTCGATATTCTAAGGCGATAGGTGCGATTTGGAAATTTTTTGAGGTGGTCTTATTTATTTTCTTGATTTTTATATTTTTTAGACGTTTACGAATTTAAATTTTTTGATATTTTTCACGCAGTCACGAAAAAATATGAAATATTGATATTTTATTCGTATCAATATTTGAATGTGACAAGTGCAATTGTGAATTTTTTGAGGTGTTTTTATGTCTTTTTCTTAATTTTTATATTTTCTGGACGTTTACGAATTAAATTTTTTGATATTTTCCACGCAGTCACGAAAAAATTTGAAATTTTTATACCTTATTCGTATTGATATTTTAAGGTGACTGGTACGATTCAGGAATTTTTTGAGGTGTTTTTATGTCTTTTTCTTGAATTTTAATTTTTTTAGATGTTTACGAATTAAATTTTTTGATATTTTTTGAAAAGTCACGAAAAATTGTGAAATTTTGATATTTTATTCGTATTGATATTCTATGGTGACTGGTGTGATTCGGGAATTTTTTGAGGTATTTTTATGTCTTTTTATTGATTTTTATATTTTTCGGACGTTGACGAATTAAAATTTTGGATATTTTTCAGGTAGTCACAAAAAATTTGAAATTTTGATAATTTATTTGTATCTATATTCTAAGGTGACATGTGCGACTCGAAAAAAATTTGTGGTTTTTTATGTCTTCTTCTTGATTTTTATATTTTTGGACGTTGACGAATTAAATTTTTTGATATTTTTTGAGCAGTCACGCAAAAATGTGAAATTTTGATATCCTATTTGTATCAATATTCTAGGTGACTGGTGCGATTCGGAATAATTTTGAGGTGTTTTTATGTTCTTTTCTTGATTTTTATATTTTTCAGACGTTTAAGAATTAAAATTTTTGATATTTTTCGGGCAGTCACGAAAAAATGTGAAATTTTGATATTCTATTCGTATCGATATTCTAAGGTGACTGGTGCGATTCAAAAAAAATTTGAGGTGTTTTTAATTTTATAAAATAATATATTGTGGATGTCTATTACATCAAGAAGTTACTCCATTACTTTCCTTCATTATGAAGATAATCATAACCTCCATAACCTCCACCTTTATAACCATTATTCTTGTAGCCTTTCACTTCCATAACCGCCCCCATTATATTCATGTTAATGTCATGTTTATGACTATCCTTTTGTATGCCTCTATGTTACACTATAAATAGAGGCATAATGGTTCATATTGTAGATACTTGAATACTTTGAAGAATAAGAAATACTCTCATCTCTTATCTCCCTATTTCTATTGTTTTCATCCTCTATATCTCTTGTCTTATATTCTTCTTGTCTTCATCTTTATATTCTTATTTTGCTTTAGTTTTACAAAACGTTATCATCACGATTATTCTACTATTGAAGGATTGAAGCAAAGTAAATATAAAGAAGGTAAAAATATTTGTGTTTATTTTTCTCTCAGGAACAAGGTAAATTATTATATAATCTATTTTGTTTATTACCTTTGATTATGCATCATTAGTTTTCTTACCATCTCAAAGTCATATGAGTCCAGCAAGTTGCTTTTACTTTGAGCAAACTTTTAATTTGATCACTAATATATTTTAAAAGTGAAGTTAGTTTTGTAAGTTAATAATTTGTAAAGAAATTGTTCTTTATGAACTTGTTTTATTAAAAGATAAATTATTGAGTTATGTGGCATATACATACTAATTAGATCATCATTATTGGTTACTTTTGTACCTCTTGATTTTTCTTTATATAAACATTTACTTGTTGAGTTATTAATATATTATTTGTACTCACAAAGTTTGTTTTGTGGATATTTTTAAATGATTAGTAAATTATGTTAATTTTCATAACAATATTGAGATAGATTG